TTTCCCTGTGCCTACTGAGCACCCTTTCACAAAATACTGCCTTTCTATGTGCATTTTCATTGAGGGAAACATGCTGTGCTATAAAAACAAAAGATACAGCTTTTCAAATGTACTGATACTTTGGGCCAGAAATAGTTTCCAGGTGCAAAAGAAATGCATAGTTTTTCTGGAAAGTCTGGGAACCCAGGCTTTCTTTAATACAGGAAAGTGTTCCAAGTTTTGTTACATCATGATACGAACACTGAATCAATTCCTCTATTTTAATGCAAGTGTCCGTGGCGAGTGTCATACTGTAAAGTATTTTTATCACTATAGCAATTTCACCTTATTAACAGAATAAAATTCAGGTTAAAATAGGTGAAGTTGCAAAACACAGGAAACAATTAGCGTTAAGCTTTGTGACACTGTCTTGAAGCTCTTAATAAAAATGTAGTTAAGAGGGAATGCAATGCTATATTCAGCTGGCAGTGTTTTTCTACGTTTATATTTGGCATGTTTCACACCTTACTGGGGAAAACGTATCAGGATGTGGTATCTTCAACATGATATTTAGGGTTCTGCAAAGATTTTTATACCTGGAAAACTGATAGTCCTATAACAGTACTCAGAGCTTTAATTCCATGTTTGTCATAATTTCAGACTACTGATCAGTTTTTAATCTCTAAAGGTATTTCGAAGTCGGAATTGTCCAGATCTAGTCCTCTCAAATGCAAATAGGAGAAGGTGGTTTGTGCAGTTTAATGAAGGGGATGAGCTGAAGGAAATAGAAATAAGCAATGAAAATTGCTTGATTTGTAATAATGGTAATAAATAGTAAAATCTGGCAAGTGAATGCTTTGTAAGAAAGGAGAACTAGGAAAGTAAAATCTAGTAACAATTCTTTTAAAGACATAAGGTAAGAATCTTCAAAAATATACTGGATCTTTTTATCATCTAGTTAAAGTCATTGTTTATTCTTCTCATCCTCTATAGTTGTAACACCTTTCATCGCATCAGCCATTGTTCACAGAAACAAGAAAATATTCCAGATCTTTCTTCTTCTTTTTTATTATTAAAACAGTATTTTATCTAAAATGTTACCTGAAGTGAAATAGATTACAGCTCTTGTTAACTTCATTCACATGACTTGATTATTGGTTTTGAAGCAGAGTGGAGTTTGAATTCTTTAATTACCAGAGGGAGTTGTGTATGCCCTCCAGACCTGCTCGGATCTCTTTATTCTGTGTTCTAATTATGGCTTTCCTTTCGGTGTTACCACAAACTGTAATTTTACATGTGGAGATAAAATCATGCTATGATTGCTCCATGTTACTATGTGGTTGGAGGGTTTTGTTAAGAAATTGCATGATGCACTGTGTGCATCAGCTGACCTATATTACTTCAGTGATGTAAAAAGGTGGGACCACAGCTGCATTTAAGTTGCCCAGTCTTTAGTGGTGCCAAACCTTCAGAAATTTTGAATTTTCTTATTGTGGAGATAATTAGTCTCCTGTAAGGTGATCAAAATAAGTTCAGGACTGTTTATGTTATTGCTGGTCTATATATCTTCCAAGTGTGAAAGTGTGATTTACAGATAGATGAGAAAAATCAGGTCTGATTCAGTAAAACTAGACTATAAATCGCACCTCTTCTAACAATGGGTAAGACCAGGACCATTCTGCTGCCTTACTTGGGGAAGATAAAGAGCCTTGCTCCTGAAGTTTCTATATCTTCTCCTCACGAGAAGAGACTTTTTTCTTTCATCTTGAAAAATGTGATGTATATACTGAGACTCTTTTAGAAACTGAGCGGTCTGTCTCGCTGTTGGTTGTAAATTATATTCATAACAAGAAATCATGTTTTTATAAGACTTTTCTGATCTCCAGTCCGTCTCTTTGGTTGTTTGTCTAATCTTTTGACTGACTTCTTTTGCAATCTTGCAAACAATAAAGGAAAAAAGATAATTTACATAAAATGGGAAACATAATGGGCAAATTATGTAAAAAAATCCACACACTTTGAACAAGTGTGTTTAAGTATATTCTTCAGCAGTGCTTGTATGATGATGACTGCATCAGCTTCACAGTCTAGTTTTCTTTAAGTAGG